AAAAATTATACCTTAAAGAGTGAGCTAAGTAGCAATACCTTTTGCCTTCATTCTGAACACTATTATAAATAGACTCTCTGACTGTACAGGACATTCCACACAATGTGCTAAGTTCAATATAATAAACACACACTGCACATTTACTTCTATAATACTGTAACTACTAGCAACATATAATAATACTAATTATCAATACTATAAAAGAATTTTCTGACCGTTCATAGGCAACATGTCGTAACCTTATGTTTCCACTTTCCTGGATCAGCACAGCTGAGTTCATGAGAGCCTGCTATTAAGAAAGTGTTTATAAACTGTTAGATCAACAACAGCATGAGAATTATAAAAAGTTACCCAAGAAAGACCAAAACATTTGAAAGTATTCTCATTCGAAATTAACTAGAACTTTTGGTTATATTTCAATTCTATATTTACAAGTCTATTACAATTTATGCAGAGATTGTATTTCATATGAAAAGGGTTTACCATATCTAACCTTAGACATTATTATTTTTACAGTTATACAGTAATTGCTTAAGAGTTTGTTAAGACAGTACTTTGTTTTATCATTAGATCTGTAATTATAATATGGAACATGAATGTCAAGTGCGTATTAAAAAACAATAACAACAGAAGAACATGGACCTTTCAGATTTTTTCGAATATTAAGGAGGTGGGGTGGTTTTCTGGCTATGCCTCTGGTTTGTGTGATATGATACAGTATGTACGTAGATTTCTTTTTTACTTACCTCATGGTTTGGATCAATCTCTAGAGCCTTGTCAAAATAGACCATAGCTTGAGTAGCTTTTCTCTGTTCAAGATACACCACTCCCAGCTAAAGAAAAACAGTTTAAACAAGCAAAATGAGACTTCTGAATAACATCATACAGCAAGATTTGGGTTCATTGGTTCCAGCTAAATGAAAAAAAAAATCAAAATTACTGTAACTTGAAGTACAATGTAATCTATGTATTCTTTAAATTTAATAAACATTAATAACTGATAATTTAAAGAAATATTTCAGATTTCTGAAATAAATTACACCTTTTTTTCAATTAAATTAACTACAGAAATTGGAGGAAAATGTTTTAACTTGTTTAGAATGTCTACAAATCTGGGTTACACAGCATTTTTATGTAGATGCTCTTAATGTGACAAAAGTACAAAATGTCCACATTTACTACAACATTAAATAAGCTTCCACATACAAAAAAATTAGCACACATTACTGAGAAAATGTTCACTGATCATTTCATCATTTATAATTCTGCAGGAAAATACACAGATGCTGAATGAGTCAATACTGTTTTTAAAAGCTTTAGTTTGGTAATATTTAATGGCTGAATGCTAAAAAGTGTTTGAATATATCATGAACTACATTTACACATACATTGTAATAAATGTCTGGATTCCTGCTTTCAAACTGTAGAGCTCTTTCATACACCTCCTGAGCTTCTTGTGTTCTGTTGATAAACAAGAGTACATCCATCAACGTTCACCTTGGATAATTACTTGTTAGTTGTTTGATTATTTTTTTTAGCACAAAGCTATTCAATGGGTTATTTGTGCTACACCCACTACAGGCAATGAAACCCAATTTTAGCATCATAAGCTTGCAGACTTACTGGTAAGCAATTGGTGGGCATAATTATTTGTCAAACCCAAACTAAATTTTTAATGAATATTATGTTTGCAGTGAAAGTTTATAATTTGCTAATCATACAAATAACTTTTGATGGTGTTGTTATAGGAAATACTTTTCAATTGATATTGACAAAAATAATTTGTATTACAGCAATAAAATGCATAGCTTTAGATACTGCAGCAGTTTTCCAAAAACAACGTGACACAAGTACAGTTAGAGTTTATGCACATAGCTTACAGCAGTTCATTACAATATAGTACAGCAGTGAAAGGAAGAACCAAAAGTCAGTTGCATTTAGAATACTAACTGGTTGTACATAAACAACATTCAAATATATAGTAGATCAATTTATCCACAGAAATGAATGAAAACACCCACAAAATGTTAGTACAAAGAGTGGGAAACTACTTCCAATTTAGTCCTATAGAGAAGTTTTTCTAAAATTTGACTTTCTGTCTTCACTTCAGATTTTCTGAGTGTAGAAAATGTGGTAAATCTAATAAATAGAGCAAAAAAAAACACAAAAAAACTCATCCTGACTTCTCTTCCAAAAATATTTTGTTTTGATGATGTGCCCATTTTAGTTCATGTGCTGCCCTACCCATTGGTGGCTCAGCAGTAAGTTTAAGGGTTTATAGCAATAAAAATCTGGTTTGGATATCCATGGTGAGCACAGCACAGATATCTCATTTGGGTAGCTTTGTAATTTACAACAAACAAATAAGTTCACATGCTCTACAATCCTTTATCTGGCTTTTTTTTTAATTTAATAAACTTAACTAGATAATCAAGAGTACCAACATAACCAGTGTAGATTGTAAACATTAAAAGTTCACAAAACTCAGAAAGTTATTGAGCACCAAAACTTGAATAACAACAATTCTTGACTTACTTCAGAAATTTCTCAAGGGTTTTAAAGTCTCTAATTTAGGTCAATGATATTAACTCCCAAGTATCTAGTTCAGTGAAAAACAATTTCTACATTAAATCAATTAATGATGCAGAATGAAGTTAAACTTTATTTGCCCTAGCTATCAAATCAATCATTAATGCAGAATAAAGATAAATTTTATTTGTTCCAGCTATAAAATAAATAAATGATGCAGATTAAAGCAAAACATTGTCTGTCCTGATTATCAAATCAATTAATGAGGTAGAACAAAGCTAAATATTGTTTGTGTGTTGGAAAAAAATGCAAACAATTTTGCACTTGAAACTTTAATTGCTACATCATGACTCATGTGCTATTCATAACTTTTTTATACTTTTTTTAGGTTCTTCATGATAATTTGAAAATATCTGAAAGTAATGAGATTTTTACAGCTATTTTCACATCACAGACATCTTCTATAAAAAGTACTTTATAAATACTTATGACTTTAATGCCCAATGTACACATTACTTACTTATTTAATTTGATCAGAATGTCACCCCTGTTGATATAGGCTTGGATGTAATCTGCCCTCATACTGATCGCTTGTCTGTAAAGCTGAAATATTATCTTATTTAGCTAATTCTTTATCATTTTTGCATAAAAGGTGGAATTGGAAAAGAGATTTTAGAGTCAATGTTTATGTGAACATATATATATATATATAGTATATAGTTATTATTATAGTTACCTACTATAGGAG